TTTCCCCTCTTGGCAGCAGTACTCTACTTTGGGGTAGGGACAAACCCCCACATTTGGGATTTGTGGGATTTGGGATTGGGGCTGAGGAATCCATTTGGAGACCTGGGGGGAAGGGGCAGAGATGAGGGTTATGGCTGAGGTGGGATCCTTTATTTTAGGATCAGGAGTTTAGGGGAAAACTGTGCTTTGGAATCTGTGATGAGAATCTGGGGTAGGTGGAGAGTTGAAGGTTTGGGTTAAGGATGGGAACCCTGTTTGGGGATTTGGGGTGAGGTTTGTGGTGAGATGGAGGCCTTTTACTTAGGGATTTGGGGGAAGGACTTGGGGGTGAGGCGAAGGGACTGGAAATAAGGCAGGTGGGTGGGAATCGGGATGAGACGTCCCCCCCTCCTCCCCCAGTAAGGCAGAAAGGATTTGGTACCAAGCTGTCTCCCTCGAATTCCAGGGCCTGCATGAAGGCTGAAGGTTTGAAGGAGGCTAATATCGCCTTTGAAGAGAGCTGCTAGGAGGAGAGGGTTTGGGGGAAGGCTGAGACCCTCGAATTCTAGGGCTGGGTGGGAGTGACCCTTCTCCAGTGTGAGGTGGGGTGAGAACCGCCCTCCCGGCCCAGGGCTCCACCCCGAGTTGGCCAATCAGGGCGCTGCACAAACTTTCCCAACTTCCCTCAGCCCAGCCCCGCCTGGCGCCGACTCCAGAGCGCTGGGCGAGTCCGGGGCGGGGTCTCCAGCACTCTCCTGCGGATCCCGAGTGGAACCGGCTGCTGCGGGTGACTGCGCCGAGCCGGTGGAGTCACCGCGCCCTGCAGCCGCCCAATCTTGTCCCCCGCCTTGATCCTCGCTGGGCCCCGCGGGGATGGAGAGCCGCGACTGGGGCCTGGGCCAGCCGCGGGCTGGTTTCTGCCTGCTTCTGGCCGCCCTGCAACTTCTGTCCGGGACACAGGCCGGTGAGCAGGGAGGGAGGAGACTGAGGGTGCAGGACTCTGCAAGATCCACAAAGCAAAGTGAAGTCTGGATTAGAGGAGCACTGTAGGGGGTGCCCACTGTGTGATGTGGGGTCGTGAGTGTCCGACTCTTGAGTGATTTGTGGGTGTGACATGGGGGGGCTGGGAAAATGTATGATTGTTTACAGACGGGGGTATAAGAATAAATGTGATTTATATAGGCGTGTGCGTGCATGTCTGTGGAGCAGTGTGCATGCGTGCAGTCATTTGGAGTGAAATTGTGTGTGTACTTGGGTGTGGGGGTTGACTGTGATTATATGAATATGGGTGACAGGGAGGTCCCTGAGAGGGCGTGTGTTGTGAGCTGTGAGTAGTGCATGTCTGTGTCTGTGTAATTTTGAGAATTACACATGAATGTGTTATGAGTGTTGATTGTATGTCACTGGGTGACACTGCGAGGGGTGTAGTTGTGATTTTGTGGGCTACATGATTGCCCATGAAGACATAAGCGGCTGATTCTGAGGGTGATGGTGAGTGTAGGCAAATATGGGGAGCTCTTCGTGCATCCGCAGTTCCCGTTGCATCTCCCCAAATGGATTCGTTCCATTCTCCCTCTTCCTTTGTCCTAAATTGGTGCAGGCCCACCCCCCCTTCTCTCCCGCCCGCCCCTCCCCCACCCTACACTCCCCAGAGCCGTGATCAGCACCACGGACAGAGCCTCGGGGAGGTCCTCTGCGAGGGGCGAGGCGGGGCGGGGCGCAGGGCGGGGAGGGAATAGAAGTTGCTCCCCTCCTCCCCCAGCTGCAAGAGCCTTGGGTGTTTTTCCCGAGGAATTTCTCGGGCCCCCGCAGGGGTTCCGGGGCCGCCGGATGAGTGAGTCAGCGCTGACGCATGCCCAGCTGCACTCATCTGGCTGGGTGCCCTGCCCCACCCCACAGGATTCGGGGTAGGGGGCGCCCCTGGGACCAGAGGGGACGTTGTGGTTTCCCAAGTGGTGGGCGATGGAGCTTCTCTGATCTGAGAGATCCCAGACTAGGCCTGCCTTGGAATCCCTGTCTAAGGTGAGCTTGGTCTCCAACACACACGCACACATACACACACCCCATTTTTTCACTTTCTCCTGAGTCGGGAGAGGGTAATCCCAAATTGGCTTATGCCCCATTCCCACTTTCACACATCATCATGCAATCTCAGGGCAACTATTCTGAATACAAGCCCCATGAGACACCAGGAATGTGAAACACCAGTGCGCAGGGAACCACCCCCCCCCCCCCCCGCCCCCAGCCACTGTCACACAGTCTCAACTTCTGTCATCCTCCTACAGGTTCAAATTTGCACATATGCTGCCCTTGGCATCCATACAAATTGGGGCAACATTCACAGCCCATCACCCACTCACAGACTCTCAGCCCACACTTCCCACCACCGCCTCTCCCTATCAGAAGTTTGAGCTGTTACAATCACAGAGGCACCTGCAGGAACTGCATGATGACAAGCTCATGCCACAGTCACACAGCCACATGTCAAACAACTGTATTTAATCCCTTCATTGTAGGCCAAATATTTGGACACATCGACATGGCAAGAAATGGCATGCCCAGCCATTCCCTATTTCACTCAGACTCACTCACACTTGCATGATATTATGCACATACACATAACTGCACACACACACCCACCACACCTACATTCTCCACACACCTGGGGGATCCTAGGCATGTCCCAGCCTACTCTGCCTGCATCCCTTCAGGTTTTAGACCCCACTGACATCTCCCCGGGGGCCCTGAGAGACCCCCACCTCCTGGCCTTAGTGCAGAACTCAATGCCTCTTGTGTATCTCCTTGTCACACAGCCAGCCATGGAAAGAAAGGGCAGTCAGTTTCAGAAAGGTCATTCTAGAAAGGATGCAAGTTGCAATCAGGAGCCTTTGGGTTAGAAGCTGTACCGGACTTTTCCATGTGAATGAGTGGTAGTTGAGGGGAGATCCCTTCCCCCTACAATGAGGCTGGGGTCTGGGTTGGCAAGGAGCCTCCATGCTAAGTGAGGTCATGGGTCTCAGTTCTCCTCCAGGGCTCCCGCCTGGAGACTGGAAAGCTGGGGGATAATTGTTCCATGGGGGAGTGACTCTTGTGGTCAGCAGAGCCTGGGAGTCTAGATTTCAGCCCCAGGGAGCTGCAACCCAAATTCCTCTTAATGACAGCCTAACCACAGAACGAGTAATTAGAGATGGGGGCTGGTAGTGGAGAGAGAAAGAGGCAGGAGAGAGAAAGAAGCAGAGACAGAGCGGGAGAATGAGAGTGATTGAGAGAGAGAAAGAGAGAGAGAGAGATTGATTCTGAGCTGGATAGAGAGAGAGACCTGGAAAGATCAGCACAGAAAGTGGGACAGAGAGAGGGAGAGGGAAGTCGGGGACAGGAGGAAACAGAGACTGGAACAGGCATCTGAGGAGTCTGAGAAGCAAGGGTTCTGACCCAGGAAGATGGGGACAGGGCAGGATGTCTCTCTTCCAAGCCTCTACCTCTCCCAAGTCTGGCCCCCCATCTCAGCTCCCAATGGTGAGCTCAGCACAGCTGCCCGGGGGGTGAAGTCATGGCATATTTGCAGAATCTGGCCCTTGCCAAGAGGCTGGGGCAGGGGTCAGTGGGACAGTTTGCAGAGGGGAGAGTAGGGGCTCAGGGGAAGCCCCCACCCACCCCTGCCCAAGCCATATGGTTCCACTTAGTCCTGGCTGGGCTGCCTGGGTGGGGCTGGTAGGATGGCCTAGATTAGGATTTAGTTGGGCCAGACCAGACCCTTTTTTTAGCTAGGATGAGAGAGGTAGAGGATCAGAGAGGGAAGGTCAGGAGGTTATCAGAGAGAGGCAGTCAGAAAAGGGAGGTCAGAGAGTGTGAGATAGGGAGGTTCCAGGTCAGATGGAGAAGTTGGGATGAGGACAGGTAGGAGGTTGGGGTCAGGGGCTAGTCAGATGGAAGAGGCCAGAGGAATTGGTGGTCCAAGGAGGCGGTAGGGAAAGAACACACACCAGGAGCTCTCCACATGGGCTTCCCCTGGCAAGGGGGCTCCAGGCTTGGGAGGCAGCCCCAGGGAACCAGTACGGGGGACCTGGGGGGAGAAGGGGACAGTCTGAGCTCTGGGGCTCAGGCCAGGAAGCTTGATTCATCTCAGAACTAGGTCAACTTTTTTTTTCTCACCAAAAACCAAGAGAAAAAAAACCAGAATCAACAGGCGATGAGGCCGGAACATCTGTGGGGTGATGAGGAAGGGGAGGGTGTGCTGGGCCCACGCCTGTGCTTTTGTCCTGAGCCACAAATACAGTGTGAGTAGGGAGAGGCTGAACACCCCTCACCCCCAAATCTGAGCCTTTGACCTGGTGTCCTGGGCTTGTTCTAACTGCTTTCTCTCTGCTGCAGAGCCTGTGGACGTGCTGAAGGCCCTGGGTATGCAGAGAGGCCAGGCTGGGGTCCACGAGGGGCCTGGCTTCTGTCCCCAGAGGGCTCCAGAGGGTGATCGGGCATTTGGGGTAGGCAAGGCTAGCATCCTCAGCATCCCCACATGGGAGCTCTTTCCAGGTGAGCCATGGCAGGAGGGTCTGGGGTTCAACCTGGTGGGAGCTAGGGCCATCTCCTGGCCATCTGAGCAGCCCTGTTCCCTCTCACTCAGATGAGCACTTTCCTGCGAACTTCTCTGTGCTGATGACTCTGCGAGGCCAAGCGGCCAATCATTCTGTCTTGCTCTCCATTTATGATGAGAAGGGTGCCCGGCAGCTGGGCCTGGCACTGGGGCCAGCTGTAGCCCTCCTGGGTGGTTCCTTTACTCCCCTCCCCCAGAAACTCAACCTCACAGATGGCAGGTGAGTATAGAAAGGGTGGGTGGGAGCCCGTGGAGGGGTCGGGTGAGAAGCCCCCCCACTGAGGTTGCCCTGTTGCAGGTGGCACCGTGTGGCAGTCAGCGTAGATGGAGGGATGGTGACCTTGGTCACCGATTGTGAACCTCAGCCCCCAGTGTTGGGTCAAGGGCCTCGATTCATCAGTACAGCTGGACTCACTGTGCTGGGGACCCAAGACCTTGCAGAGGAGACTTTTGAGGTAGGAGTATAGGGATGGGAGAAATTGAGGCAGGCAGTGGACATTTTGTTCACAACCTGAATCTGGGGAGAAGAGCTTGGAGAAGGAAGATGCCAAGTGTCCACCGAGCCCCAGGAGGCAAAGGGAAGAGGACATGTGTAGTGTGTGATTGTGAGACAGTATTGCCATGAGACCTTGGATCATGATGGTGCCCTCTTGGCTGGTTGGGGGAGGATCCAGTTGTGTGACTGTGACCTGTGATCTGAGATGATTGCTGTGATGGTGTGTACTTGTGCGCTGGGCAGTTGTGACATTGTGTGTGTGTGTGGCAATGTGCTGTTTGGTGGCATGGTGACCATAATTGGTGACTGTGCTGTGTGTCACCTACAGGAGACCAGGGGCCTTGTCTGTCTCATGCTCTTTTTTATTTACAGTGCATGAAAGAATAGCTGTTCACTTGTGCCTGAAAGCAAACAAACACATGCACCTTCAGTGGGGCAGATGTGGGAGTGGTTTGTGGTTTGGTTGGGCCCTGATAGAATTTCTCCTTCTCTTAATTATAGGGAGTAGAAGAATCCTCACCCCATGGCAGGGCCACCTCCCCCTTACACTTATACTTAGGTGGTCTGGGAGAGGGAATCACCAGACCTTGATGCCAGGAGGTGGGCAGGTATCTGCCAGGCAAATGAGGCTCAGGGTCAGCCTAGGGCCCCTTCCCCACCTCCCTCTTCCAGGGAGACATTCAGGAGCTTCTGCTGAGTCCAGATCCTCAGGATGCCTTCCAAGCCTGTGAGAGGTACCTCCCTGGCTGTGACAACCTGGACCCTGCAACCTCAGGGGTAAGTGAGGGGCCACATTATTCCTAACCTGAGGGCATAGGCTGAGCCTTACCTGGCCCCTGCTCAGGAAAAAGTGAATTCTGACTCCCAACTATGGGGGTGAGAGATCTCTGACTCCAAATACCAGGCTGAGTGACCCCTGAGCTCACACAGATCCCAAGCAGGATGGACTTTGACCTCAGGTCATATACCTGAGAAATGTGTGGCCCCAGGTCACCCCAAGGGATGGAAACTCCAACCAGGGGTGGGAGGTGGAATGCTGTACAGCTGACTGGGGCCCTCTTTCAGGCCCTGCAGAGTGAGCCAGAAACCGGTCCTCCTCGGCACAAGGGTAAAGGAAAAGGGAAGAGAAAAGGACGGGGTCGGAAGGGTAAAGGCAGGAAGAAGAAAAAGGGAACTGAAACCAGTGACTTCCCCCAACCGAGCCTGCCTCCTGGCTTCCTGGAAAACCAAGTAAGGACCTGCCACCTCTCACTTTGGGTCTTGACAACCTGCCTTCTGGTCTCGGATGCCTCATTCATGACCTTACTCTCTGATTTGGGCTGTTCCTCCCTGGGGGTCACTGTTGAAGGTAATTGATAGAAGCTGTTAATGGTATTACTAATGTTGATAGTTTAAAGTTAATGGTTGGAGTCTATTAGTATGAGGGGGTTGTTGGTAGGGAATCACTGATTGGAGGGCCTAGAGGGGCCAGTAGTTGGAAGAGTGATTTTCATGGAGATCATACATGAGGTCATTATTTTGGGAGACCTGAGGGGTTGTTGATTAGGAAGCCATTGATGTGTGTATGTCATTGGTTATTGGGATTACCATTGACATTTCTGTGTCATTGCTTGAGGAGCATTATTTCGGCTCCTTATGGGTATTCATTGTTGGAACATCACTGGTTGGGGTATAATTGATTGTAGGGGTCCCTGGTGGGGTTTATTAGTTGTACTGGTCTCAGTGGTTAATGCTTATTGTCATGAAGGTGTTACTGGTTGGGAAAATCACTGGATGGAAAAGTATTGGGTTGGGGCCATTGATGGAAGTCATTAATTTGGAGAGTCACTATGGGTCACTGGTTGTAGGAATAATTGAAGTTTATAGATGTCATTAGTTGGTGGGGTTTCAGTTGGGGTCTTTGGTTGGGAGAAGTCACTGGTTGCACTACATCTCAGTTCCAGATCTTTCTGACCCAGCGCATTGACACCAATAATGTTCTTGTTCCCTGCCCCTTTCTCAGCCCGGTCCCTCACCTGAGCCCCCATTGCCTTGACCCAGTTCCCCTGCAACTGTACAGCCCAGAAGGAGCTGCTGCTCCACCTCCGACTGTGGCCTGGCTGGCTGACCACTGGACTCTGCCTTGGGAGAGGACATGTGGGATAGGCTTCCGGGAGTCTGTCCCTGAGTGCTGGAGCTTGACCTTGAATGCTGAGGCTCTGGAGCCAGCCAGGCTTTGCCTTCCTGGCCCCACCAGGCCCCTCCTCCGTGTAGGATGGGGCCCCCTACTGGCCTCCCTCATCCAGCCAGCCCTCCTCTCTGCCTCTGTTGGTCTCTGAAGCTCTTTGGGAATCTTCCTCTGTCCTCTTCCCAGACTGGGAGCAGTTATGGGGGCAAGACTTTTTGCCTTTTGTCTTGGTTGGCCTGAACCCAGAGACAATGCTCCTTCCATCTCTGCTACAGACCTCCACTGACATCCCAAGGACCGAGGTACCAGTTTCAAATCTGCCTCTGACTCCCACACCTTTGGTCATCATCTCCACTGTGACTACTGGCCATAATGTCACGATACTAGAGGTTTGTGGGAAGAGCACAGGGCTGGAAGGTGGAGGCCCGGTGGTGGTGATGGTGGTGATGACAGGCAGTTAGGAAGTCAGCGGCAAACTTCAGTCTGTCCCAATGTCCTCAGGAGGACCTGGACCTTGACAATGGAACTAAGCTAGGGACCCCAGAGGCTGAAGCAGCCAGGGAGGATGAAGAAGGAGGTGACTCCACCATGGGCCCCGACTTCCGGGCAGCAGAACAACCAACTCGGATTCAGTTCCAGATCTTTCCAGTGAGTCTCGGTGGTTGGGGTTATGAGCAAGAGAAGGGATTCTTGCCTGCAGCTGCAAGGAACTGTATTTTGTCTCTTGACTTCTGCTAATCTTGCCTAGCATGTCTTCCCATAACCCCAGTGCAGTCGGCAAAGATTTGTTTGGGTGCCTATGGTGCGGTGCGATAGGTACTGTGCTAATGGATAGTCGTGCGGGGGGGCGCATTTGGCTTTTGGTCTAAGCACCGGGATAAGCTGCTGGAAAAGGAGCAGGATTTTGACAGCTTCCTCTGCCTGCTGAACAGCACGTGGACGCTAGGGGGAGCCGGAGGGGCAGCGGGGAGTCCCTGCGGTGGCCTGGAGGAGGGTAGTAGCCCTAGGGGTAGAGCGAAGAGGGCCCCTGGGGACATGCTCCATTTTGTTCTTGCTGCTGGAGGTGGAGAAAGGTAGATGTCTGTTGGGATCATTGAGTAAGATGCAGATTCCAGATAGAGGAACTGGTGGTTCACACCTGTCATCTAATCCCAGAATTTTAGGCCAGTAGTTCGAGACCAGCCTGGGGAATATATCAAGACCTTTATCTCTACAGAAAAAAATTAAAAAATGAGCAGGGTGTGGTGCTGCACAACTATAGTCCCAGCAACTGAGCAGGCTAGGGTGGGAGGATCACTTGAGTCCAGGAGTTACAGACCAACTTGGGCAACACAGGAGAGGCCCTGTGACTGCAAAAAGTTTGGCTCAGCACCTGTAGCTCAAGCAGCTAAGAGCTCGCAGGTTTGAATCCAGCCTGGGCCTGCCGAACAACAATGATGATTACAACCAAAAAATAGCCAGGTGTTGTGGTTGGGAGGCAGAGGCAAGAGAATTGCTTAAGCCCAGGAGTTGGAGGTTGCTGTGAGCTGTGATGCCATGGAATGCTACCCAGGGTGACAGCTTGAGGTTCTGTCAAAAAAAAAAAAAAATTTAAAAA